TCCTGTGTAATGCAATCCACTTTCTTTCCCCACCCAGGACTAGTGTTGCATTAATACATTAGTCTTCTAGACCTGACCTGTTAAAAAATCTCTTTATATTCTTTATAAAAGAACCTGTCTCGAGAAGCAACAAATCATCCTGTTTCCAAGCAGCTCGGCTGCATCCATTATCTACCCTGTATTTATCTACAATCATCTTAACTTCTCCTTATTTTCTAAAGATGGAGAAAATTCTATAAAACAACACAGTTCCCCTCTTCAAGAATTCAGGATAGTGGAAGCGAACACACACGTGGGTTGGCCAAGGACTACAAATCCAGATCATTAACAAGTCAAAATGAGTGGCTGCTGGGAAGGGGAAAACTACACCATTGTCCTCTTCCAGTCGCCCTATCACCCTTAAGTGTTTTAACATCACTCTAACCTTTTTGTAATTCCAGCTACTCCATTGCTGAAAATGTTCCTACTTGATTTGAAAAAAGTCATTTATTCTGAGCTGGAGCCACCTCTCTGTCCAATGATACTCAACTGGATAATCTTCAAAGCCTCATCAACTTCAGACTGCAGTTTTTATGATCCCATGCAAATGCCTGACAATTTTGTTCTCCTTTGAAAGCTTTTGGGGACTATATCCTCTCCCAACATCCAAATCCCAGGCTTCACCTTGGGTGTAATGCTGTCTTCATCCCTAAATAAGCTTTGCTACAGTCCTGGGGGCTTTTTAACAGTTATCCTATTCATTAAATCTCTCCTTACACCATATAACTAAAATACTTCATTGCTCAACCTACCACAACTGTGGCAGAAAAAGAGCATGTACATACAGGATATGTGAATGCAACACACAAAACTTCAGAACTACCCTCTCAGCAGTCACTTGGCTTTGATCAATTATCGACAGCAGATTAATAAGTCTCCCCTACTCCATGATCTGATCCTCCGTAGAGAGAATGAATTTTTATGTTTATTAAATCTGTACCAAATATTTAACGTTTTAATTTGCCAGTGTCTATGCTGAACTAAAATGAAGACCCAAAATCAAAAGGCCTAACAAGCTATTCCTGCTTACAGGCAAAGGTTGTTTTTACACAGTCTGACCTCTTACAAGGGGGTGAGATGGGGATATAATGCTTTGGTTCCCGAGTTTTAGGAGTTCCATTCTCACATCAGCCAAAAGTTGCTTTTTAGCTGTGCATTATTTTCATATTTACTTCAAGTGAGCAGAAACGTAGCAAGACTGGAGCCTTTGAACACTCACACTTCAGTTCCCAGTGAGGTTGGGATGTCCTCCTTTCTTCTGATGCCTGACTGCATCAGCCCAGTGGCTGTTTCAGTGTTCAGGTTTCATGTTTTAAGGCTGAATTGTGAAGCCAAAGGGCTTCCACTAAATGGTAAATATGGGACCGCTGTTGCTCCAGAAAGGTATAACTCAACGAACATTCAGAGAACTTGAAAGGAGTTTTGGACTTGCATTTGACTATTGTAAAAATTCAGTATTAGAAGTCTCGGAGTAATCTGCCACTGTGGACTTCGAAGGGCCCAGAGTAATCACAGAAACTGCAGAAGTTCTTACAGCTTCTCTCCTCTTGAGCTGTCATACACCTGGAGAACTTCTAGCAAACTCAGCATACGCAGATCCGCTTACATTGATTCAGGTCCCCTTTCTGTCTTACTTTTTAGGACTGAATCAGTTCATCATATGTTATTTTTCCTTGTCAGTCACACAATTGGTTTATTGTGTTGTGGATATTTCCTCTTTACTGTGGCAGAGAAAACACAAGAATCTCCAAAGTCTTAGGCACTAAAGTGGAACTTAAGATGCATTTTCTCTTCAAAACTGTTAACTCCTAGGTCATTCAAACCCAGGCGTTAGTTCAAATTTATTTGCATTTTCAAAATTAAGCATCCAGATAACGGATGTTCTGACTGTGGGCATTCAAACAAAAAGCCACTTGCTGGGCAGCACCAAGCACTTCAACTGCTGAAGACTTATGGCCCACTTGACCTACAAGTGGTATTTCTTCTACTTACCTCATATGCAGAAATCCATTCAGTAAGTACTTTCAAAGCTTCATAAACCGAGCTGAAGTCTAGCTGTCTTCCTTCAAAATATGTTGGAAGTACTCACACTTTTATAGTATTTTCATTACTAGAGCACCAGCATCCAGCAACCAGAAAAGCTTAAGCTGCTCCACTTTTATAAGAGATGACAGAGTCACAGCATGGCAGGAGTTGGAAGGGATCTCTGGAGATCATCCAGTCCAACCCCCCAGCTCGAGCAGGATCACCCAGAGAAGATCACACAAGAACGTGTGCAGGCGGGTTTTGAATGTCTCCAGAGAAGGAGACTCCACAACTTCTTTGGGCAGTCTGGTCCAGGGCTCTGTCACCCCCACAGTAAACAAATTTTTCCTTATGTTTAAGTTGAACCTCCTGTGTTACAGTTTGTGATTATTGCCCCTTATCCTGTTGCTGGGCACAACCGAGAAGAGTTTGGTCCCCTTCTCCCAACACTCGCTCATTAGATATTTATAAGCATAAATGAGATCCCCCTCTGTCTCCTCTTCTCCAGGCTAAACAGATCCAGCTCTCCCAGCCTTTCCTCGTAGGGAAGATGCTCCAGTCCTCTAAGCCCCCTAGTGGCTCTAGTGACTGAAAACCTGTCCTGACAAAAAAGCAAGACTATCCATCTTGTCTGTTGAAACCATTCTACTTGCATGTCAGAATTAAAGGTTTACCAGGCCACAGAAAGAGAGGAGTTACATGAATTCTCAAACCTGGCAGTTACGACCAAAACATAAGATGGAAGCATTCTTGCTGCTAGGACAGTCTGTGTGGTTTTATCCAAAGGACAAAGTTCAGAGCAGTGCAACTTGAGTTAGGGAGATGGAATGTCTCTGGAGGGTTCTTGAAGACTTTCTTGTCTTCAGTGTTTTCTCTTGCCTAGCTTAGGCAGCTCCCTACTTGTCCAGCTTTCTCTGCATGTATGAAGAGCCCAGCCTGGGGGACTGGAGCTCCTTACAGAGCTGAGATGTTCAGTAGCTCTCCTGGCTAGCAAACAAGACTTCTGGCCCTTTGTGGCTTAGTGTCAAAGCTCCAAGGTCAGAGGGCACTTTTAGCAGTGCCACTGAAGTTTCATCTGAGAGGCGACTGCCTATCGAAGTCTTTACAGAACAGCTCTTGATTTCATCAAACATGTGTACCTTCCAACATATAAAGTAATGCAACTTCCAGAAGGCAGGGAGAGATCATTTTCCCTTTCCTCATCATTCTGGAGGAAGAAAGGTTGTATGGTTTTGTTTTGGTAGGATTATTTTTGGTTAATTGTTTATACTGCATACTTCACACAAGCAGATTCCTTTCCTCTAAAATATAAATGCTGAGGTTTATGACAGTTCTCTCTCTGCAACTGTAGACAGACATTTGTTCCACATTTTAGAGAGTGCAAGCTCTTGCACAGACATATTTTACTCTGATGACAGCAATAACTGGTAAGATAAGGAATTTTATTATTAGACTTTCCTCCAGCAACAGTTCTAATAATAAGAGGAAAAGAAATGGAGCAGGGAAAAAACAAGTTAAAAGAGTAACTAAGGCCCATTTTCTTTATGGTCTTTATCAACAGCTATCAATGATTTATTATTTTATTATTTCCATTACAATTTTATTCTGTGCTTAACAACATTCTTGGCCTGGGAAGATGCATTTCTTCCATTCTCACACAAGCCATCCTCTTTTTGGATGTTAATCAGAAAAAGCACCATAACTTTCTCAAAATCAACCCATCCCTATTGGAGACTAAGCCACCTGTCACTGAGGTAACAGAGTGATGCAGTCATCTTCATTAGAGCTACACCAGGTGCTATATCCTGGTTTGGCATCTGTAACATTGGTGTAGTAAATTAAAAGACACCAGGAAATGCAGTAAGGCTAATTCACATTCAATAAATCACACAGTATGTGTCCTCTTGGGGTGTGTTTTGAAGGCACATTATTCTCATCCAATAGAGAAAGACAAGCAATGTATTGGCTGACGTGTGCCTATGGGTACGCAGCCCGCTGACTTCTGCCCATTGAAAAGTTAAATGCATTTAAACACCACCCCAATGCCTAACACTTTCACAACTTCATTAGATTTGTCTGCCACTCAAACAGGAACATTTCATGCTCCAAGGGCCAAAAGTCATGAGTTCTCCCCGCTTAACAAATCACTCATCAGTTCAGAGGTTCTGAAAAAAAGAGCAAAGTTTCAGGTAACCGCAGACTGACTGCCCTTTAGCTTCCTTAGTCACCCTTGTAGGGATCCCGAGTGTGGATGTGCGATATTTTTGTCCCTTCTGACTTTAAGTAATGGCTTCAATAACACTCAGAAGTACAGCAGTGTGGAAACCAACAAATAAGCAAATAACCCAGAGGCCTTCACCATGGAAGAGATGTGGAGGGCAGCATTCCCACAGAAAATGGCATGCCAAGCTCTCACATCTACATGCCTGGGGATTAACATTCACTTTCCTGTTCCTCTACCTCAACTAGGGCTTTAAGTAGATTCTTTTCCTCATGCTTATTCCTACAGAACTGCTGCCTGCATGTTCTCCACTTCACCGACATGCACACCAATTGGTTTGGGCACTCACATGCTCCCCATCGCCCCTTGGTTCGGGCACTTCTATTGTCATTCTTAACTAGATAGAGGTATTTGAAAATACTGTACCTACACAATTCCTTATCGCTTCCACATTTCAATAACTCTTGTATTCTGTGATTTTGTAGTGTCTCACCTTTCTTACTACATTCATAATGAGAACCACCTCACAAAAGCTTATGTTAGATAAGAGACTTCCCTCCTATATACTCAGCAAATGAAGTATCAACAGACAGAAAGGAATCTGTTCCCAGTCCCAAAGCTGCCTCCAGCTTGGTGGAACATAACCTCCTCCATTCAGCTTTTCCCCATAACTCAGCACCAGAGAAGAGGAATGAAAGAAGCACAAGAAGAATTAAGAACACATCTTTTTAAAAAAAATCATATTAATCACATTCATCAATGGAATTAAGCTGCACCACCTCCCCACCTCTGGCTTAGCCAGCTCTCTCTCCTCTGTGCAGTATCTTCACGGTGATCACCACAGGAGGCAACATGGGTGGGGAATTCCTCTGTAAGGTTCCACTGTTTCTTATTTATGTAGATAAGCATCAAGCCAGAGCTCACCCGAATCTTTCAAAGAGCTGCCAAGAGAGAACCACATTTCCTTAGAAACAAGGTAATGAAATAGTGTCCAGGGAACAGAACCTTGTGGGAACAATTCCCATCTACAGATTAAGCAAAGGAGATCATAGAATGGCTTGGATTGTAAGGGACCTTTAAAAGTCCAACCCTCCTGCAATGAGCAGGGACATCTTCAACTAGATCAGGTTGCTCAAAGATCTTCAGAGGAAAGGCAATGTAGACTATAGCTCCTTGGAAAGTTGAAGAACCAAAGCACTGTAGCTACACCAGACAAAAAGCGGAAGACTAAAGCAAACAACTTAAGTAGATTGAAAACAAAAGGAACAAGCATGGCAGAAGAGAGCCACATGACTTTTCAACAGATTAAGAAATAGATGGGGAGCAAGGAGGAGAAGAAAGGAAGAAAAAGGAAAGAATGAATGACAGTTCAAACTCATCTTTATGAAAATACCTCTTCCCCTGGAGCATACTTGGAGGCAGACGCACCAAATCTGGCATCGTACTGACCTCTGACTCTTCAGAGCTGAAGAAAAGTTCTCCACTAGTTTGTTCCTACTGACACCTTCTGTCTGCTGCTACTGTTCAGAGCCATGGCTGAACAGTTTTCCAAGCCCCTTCATAGTCATCTGCACTATCTACAGCTATTCATCCAAGCTGGCTGCTCATTCCCTTGCCGTGTCCCTTGCTTGTTCACTCTGTAATACTGGCAAACCCTTAATTAGGGAATACAGTGAGTGGATACATACTGCACTATGTCCGCAAAGGCGGTGAGCAACGGCTTGCACTGGTACTCAATACCATGTTTGGCACACAGGGACTTCACCAAAGGGGCCACCTTCCAGTAGTTGTGTCGAGGCATTGTAGGAAAAAGGCTGTGGGAAAAGAATGCGGTGATTAAATGGCATCCGTCATCACCCCACAGAATTCCCACTCCTCTTCTGTGCCTAAGCCTGGGAGCACCTCAACCTTCCCCTGTGCCCATAGCCATTAGTGCTCTGTAGTGGTCCCTCTCGTGTCACTTCAGCCAGATCTGTACTAACCAAGAGCTTCCATTTCATCAGCACAGGAAGAGCACAAAATTTACCTATGTTGTCTTTTGTTCTTATATTAGCTGACAGGGAGATGGGGACCCTGTGGGCTCTTCAGACCTAGTGTAACCAGTACTCTTTGACATTCTTCCCTCACATCCCCAACCCATGCTTCAACTCACTGGTGCTCGATTTGGAAGTTCAGATGTCCACTAAACCAGTCATTGAAGAAAGACTGATGAACGTTGCAAGTTGCCTGGAGCTGAGAGAAAAAAACAGGAACATTGAAATGTTGTTTTAGGAATGCCCTTTCTTTTATGTGTGCCAAACGTAACAGCAAGCAGGTACAAGTTCCTTACCATCACATGCCTTCTGGCTGAATACAGCAACTCTAAGAGCTATCTCCAGTCAACACAAGATGGCTGTGCTAACAATTGTCAGGGACATAATTTAGGAGAACAGCCTTAACTTTCCCAGTGAGATAAGCCATAACAACCATGACTTTCAGCTCCCTCACTTAAAAAAACTGTGTAATGGCTTCAGAGCTAAAATAAGACAAACCACACAAGAGAGATCTGCATCCTTTATGCACAGAAAGCTCACTATTTGAAGAGTATTGTAGCATCTCTAATTATTTTCCTCGAGGTATCCATGCTCAGCATTTGAAGCCTCCATCCCACTTCTGCACTTTTTTTCTTTGCACTAATCCTTCACTTCACACAGCGAGGGCATGCTTCTCACATTTTCCTCTTTCAGTTCCCATCACTTCTGTGATCATCTCTCTTGGGCATTACATACCCAGAACTAGAATTTCTCACCGTTGTAGTCACAGGTCTCTGGAAATACGGTCTTACCTGGGTAGAGAACCAGTCCACATTCTTGTCATAATCAATGTGCATCGGGATGTGATTCATTTGTGTAATCCAAACAAACCAGTTGCTCTCTATAAACCTGTGCATACAAACACACGCAGAACCATTACTGATCTCACACCTATTCTGTAACAAGTCAGTACAAAACACTTCTGTGCATACCAGTTAGTTGCTGCTTGACAAAATGAACACCAGAAACTCCAAACATCTGATCAATAAGTCAAACCTACAGACACCTACTTTCTAAAGACACATGCCTGACAGACAACAACCTCTGTCTTGCTGAAAGGCGTAAGGAGACAGAAGAACAGGGAGACGATGAGAAAGATAAGCAGGAGGCTGAAGAAAAGCTGACATGAAGGATCAATAGAAACTGGGTGAAGAAAATGGATGAATTAAAAGTTGAGTGATACCTGACTAACAGATGAAGCCCCAGGATACCCTTCACCCCCAGTAAGGGGAAGTAGGTGAGAAAGAATCGGATGTAGAAGGTAAGCATCCAGGCCAGGTCCTGTAGTATAGGGAACAGATAAAACTTCATTAAGAGGAAGAATTTCTGGCTTCTGAATTTACCATTCACTCTATGTGGCATTCCCTTTAAGACCTCCCATAATATCATCTACCAATAGATTTTTCCTCCTTGGCCCCATCATAAAGCAATCTGACACACAGCCACTTCCCAGCCATTCCTGTGCTCCGGAATTATCCTGGTCTTATGAGCCCAGCACAGGGCAAACACTAGAGAGGACATGCTCTCAAGCACCACGTTTTTCTTAGGATCTAAAGAGAAAGCAAGCAGTGAGAAAACCAAAAACTTAGCCAATTCAAAGAATAAAGTGCTCAGATTTACCGCCATCTCATCCTTTTTAGTTCCTCTTCACATTTCTAGCAAACTCTTATTTCCCTCATGTTCGTTTTCTCCTGACTGTCTCATCTCCCAGGCAAGAATAAAACAGCCAAGATGCCTTGTCTCTAACCCCTACATCTCAGAGAAGACTCATCTTTTTTCTGCATTTTTTTCTAAAGTGTCTAAAAACCATGTTATTTCTCAAGGTCCCAGGTTTTGCCCTAATAAATCACCTCCCTAACAACTCTGAACGTCTACTACACATCCACTATTCCACTTCACACTGAGGAGTCAGTTTTAGGCTACCTGAAAGCTACTTGATTTTTAATATATAATTTTGCAAAATGGAGGCATAATGAATGGCGGCCCCCCCCCCCCCCCCCCCCCCCCAGTTTCTGCTACTTTTCCCCTTTTTCTGTGCCTGTAAGTTTTTATTGTATTGGTTTGGGAAAACAAAAAAGTGACCAGAATGACCACTTCGACCTTAACCTAGACTCTCATGATACCTGAAAGACAAGTTCTGTATGAATACCAGCAGATGCGGAATGCTTCCACATCCTGGAGCGAGTCAGAACATCAGAGACCTTACTTCCCACATTTTATAACTACACTGCTTGCCACAAAGATACAAAGTTCAGAGTTTCTCCCAGCAATTTCTTGCACTGAAATGTATCCGTAAAACAAGGAGAAGTCACCATTGGCAACGTGGAGCTGACTTACCACCCACTGCTTCCGCTGTACCACAAAGTAGAATATGTACCACTGGAAATAAAGAGGCACCAGAGCTGGGGGACCAACTAGGGTGGAGAAATAAAATCACAGAGACATTAACGGTGCCCTTTTATCCCAGTGAAATGGACTGGAAAAGGAAGGGGTTGAGTGAATGGTGTCCACAGAACTGTGAAAGGGTAAGGTTACTCACTGATGAAGAAGTACTTGTGCTGGTGGTTATAAGGCATGAATTTCTTCTTTTGTACACCAAGCTGTGAAAATAATCAAATTACTCAGGCTGTGAAGACAGCTAAAGATACCTGTGCATACAATCCTACCTATGCTTTCAAAGAAATGCATACTTAGATACCTCCTAACCTTTAAAAGAGATGTCCTATCAAACCATGCCAGCATCCACCATGCCATTGGCTTCACCATCCCCTGGGACTTCAGTCTGTGACTGCTATGATAAGTCTTCAATCCTGCCTTGGATGCACAAGAGGCTGGGTGGTCCCTTGCACCACGAACAGCAATGTGCACTTCCTACAGAGGGCACAGCTGCTTAACAACACTTACATCAAAAACCACAGCAGGCACTGAGAACGGTTGGCTGCCAACATAGAGCTTCAAAAAAAAGAAAAACTGATGATACTATTAATAAAGAGGGCACTGTGTAGAACTTCCATCTACTTGCAATTAAGTCTCCAAAGCATAGAAATGAGCATCTAGACAACAATTATCCTCCCCTGAGAGTGCTAATTTTTCAGTTTTCACTGGATAAACACAACAGATCACGTCACTGACTTCCTTGAGGAATTCCACTGTATCCCTGTACATGTCCAAACCAATTCCAAATAGCAGCCCTGCCTTAATTTCAATGCAAATCAGAGCATTTAAGCCAGGTGACACAATGAATTTATGTATCTATTTTTTTAAAGGACCAGCAAACATTAAAGCCATTCAGTTAATTTCAGACTTGTACCAGAAACAGAGTTGGACTCCAGGTGGGACCTGGTCTGACATCCACTGTCAGACTGAGACCACTGAGATAACTACTTTGATCAGTAACTGTGAAAGTTCCAAATAGTCTTTGCTTGTCACCCACTGCTTCATTTCCCAAAATGCTACAATTAGTCAAAGCTGACCTTGGTAAAGGGAACTTGCAATCTTATCTTAATACAACTGCAAGTCTCAGAGAAATATGGACTTGTCATTGTGATAAATATTTCATTCTTATTTTAAAACATAGCAAAAATAAATTCTATTGACATTTTAAGAAAAATCTCAGAATTTTACTAGAGAATATTAGGGACTAGTGATAGGCAAACTAGTACTATATAAAATAGCAGGTCAACTCAAAACACTTTCTGTATCTACTTCTCATTTTACAGAAAATTTTTTTAACCTTCAGAATAAATTTCACCCCATAGCCAGATTATATTAGGGCAAAACCATAAAAAATGGTTGCAGCATTAAGCATATGGAAGTATATGTGTCAGGATCCTAAGTATACGGAAGTATACGTGTCAGGATCTTAAGTATATGGAAGTATACGTGTCAGGATCTTAAGTATATGGAAGCTAGTGATGCACCAGGATCTTTTTTAATTCTTGTTTTTCAAAGGCCAGTAATGCCAAGCTGCACCTTCCCCAAACTTCTGACTTACTGAGAGAGCTCACTGATCAAATTGAATGGCCACTAGTCTACAAGATCTCTGCAGCTTTCCAAATTTGAATCCTAACACTCTAACCTCCGAGGCTGCAACCAGGTCTCACCTCTACAGAGAGTGTTTTTCCCAGAGCAAAAAATAAGGGGTGCATGTTAACGTCAGGATCCTTTCGGAAGCAGTTAGGTTTAGCATGATGCTGGAAGTGGAGGTGATTCCACCAGCTGGCTGGTGCTCCCTGCAGGAAGGGATGAGAAGAAAGTGCCATAAAGAAGTTGTATCTTCTGCCCTTAGTCCTCCCTCCCCAGTAGTTCCTTGCGTTTGCTTTCTTCTCACACAGACTATTTTTGACTGCAGAGCATCCTGGGCACGGCTCTGGCAGTTCCTCTCAGCACTGAATGCCCACCTTCAGATGGCCAATCACGAACTTGTGCACCCAATGGTTCCATCTGGACTTGCTAAAGACTGAAAGGTGTCCAAAATCATGCTGGAGCCAGCCAGCCTGGGCCTGGAATTTAAAAAAAACAAACAACAGTGCTGCTAGGGAAGAAGAAGAGACAGGAGGCTCTGCATCTGAAGAAGATTTTTCTCTTCTCCCACTCCCATGCTCCTCACAACATATCCCTGGAGAGTGAGAGCATTTCCACTACTAAGACCCAATCCATGCACTTATCTTCTACTATACAGCACTGCAGCCCAGACTTCACCTAATGACTTTTAGTCCCAGATAGCTGTTTTCATGAGGAAGGAAAAAAAGCCATGGGAAAAAAGTTCACGGAGCTCAGAAACAGCATTTATTCTCTTACAAAACTGCACTGAAATTGGCAACAAAGTCTCCTTTAAGGAGCAGCTTGCTGCTGCCTCCTCCGAGTACTTGTAATTCCAAGGGGATCAGCTGGCCACAGGAGGAATAACCAGGGCTTTGAGAGTTGCTCTGCCTTCTCCTCTAACTCACTGCAAGTTCCCATGGGAACACGGTGGCTTGGCCCCTGCTCAGTGCCTTGGAGTTCTGGCACAAGGGACCTCAGAAGCGTAGCATGGCTTTCATTGTGTGAAGAAGGCTGGGAATAAGGAGGGCTTTGATGGGCTAGAAGGACTAAGCAGGGCAAAGCCAGCTCTACCAAAGCAGCAGGTCATGGCACCGTAATTTTGCCCCTTTCAAGGAGCCCAGGGTGAAATAAAATTTTGGGAAGTCCACAAAGATAAGATTTCTCCTGTTCTTATGGTAATGAGCACCTAAGTCTCAAAGGATTGGTTTTTGGTGGTTCTGGGGCTTCTTTTTGCCTAGCTGCTTACCTGGACAGTGCCTAGAAGCACTGCGGAGAAGAGGAAAGGCACTGTGGATGCTCCAAAATACCAGATGACAAGCCACGCTGCAACATCCAACACCAAGATGTGACAGAGATACAGAATGAAAAAAATCCAGCTGGGTTTGAGAAGCCCCATCTTCTCCACAGTCGCACGGAGTTCACGGAAATCTTCTACCAGCTTTTTCTGTGGAGAGACACAAGAGTATCTGCGGGTACAAAAATGCCTGAGGAATCCAAAAAGGAGCTCAGTTTCCCCTCTCAAGGAGCTATTGTGGCAATGGGGAAAAGTTGAGTGTCACCTTGAGACAAGTCTTCACTAAGACTACTAATAATGACATGAAGGCAAGGGGGAGCTTCAGACCGACAAAGTGATTCCAGGAGATACTATCATTTGTGTATAGGGAATTCTAGATGCCAGTAAGAGATGTTAAATAGCAGAATTTCAACCCAAATATCGAGTTTTTAAGGTACTTACATTCTTACTGGGCTCAAAGCTGGGTTGATCTGGTGCCAGTTCCCCAATCAAGAGTGGGGTCATGTACTTTCTCACAAGTGCCTTGTCCAGATGAAATGCTACAAAAGGATCCTGAAATACAGATATAAGCACAGGATGAGAAAAATGACCATTCGGGTGGCAGCAAATAAATATATTTCATGATACCCTGGACTCAGCAGAAAGCAACCCAACTAATGAAGCTGGTTGAACCAGATTCTTGAACTGTCACAAATCTTACTGCTTTCTTCAGACCATAAATGATCATTTGAAGCTGAATTCTCTGTATTACTTTTTATCTGGATGCTGTTAAGTGCAGGTCACCAATAAACAGGGGCTCACTCCCCTCTTAATTCTGAATCAGAAAATTTCATATCCTGTTGAACCTCAAGATATATAATCTCAACCACATACTCCTCTATCTCTACTTTGTCTTCAGCTTCCATCTTATTTTTCCTCAGACCCCATATCCTGAAATGAAAGCCTGATTATGGAGAAGGGCAAGATGTTAGCAAAAAAACTGAATCATTTAGCTGAATTGGGAAAAATGATGGGACAAGCAGAGGACAGCTTGTGTCAGCTGTCAGCTCCTGGTGACCCACACCAGTCTCTCAAAAGCCCCATGTTTTTCCAGATATGCTTACTTCGCAATCTCCAATGCCCACCTTGCCACATCTTCCTAGAAAACTTTTGTTTCCTTGCTACCTGTCTCATGTTCCCCATCTGGTTCCCTTCCACACTTCTAAAGAATCCCATGAAAAGGCCCCTTTTTTTCCTCTTTACCATTCAAAAAATCACCGTTAGGGAAATCAGTTTCTTTTATCATTTAAATGTAATGTCAATCTCTGTGACAACCAGGCAGTCAGGTGAAAAAAATCACTAGTGATTGTTATCACTACATATTCTATCACTATATTTGGATTACAAATCCCCTGAGCATAAGTGGCAGTCTGACACCTACTTCCTACTGAAGATCTCCCATTTACCTCATTTTGCATATTCCTCTTCAAATTAGTATATACTTTACAATCTCCCTCAGCCTAAGGATCCTTTTTTCTTTCCTGAAACAATATTGGCCCACTGCGCATCAGTTTGGAAGCTTCTTGCACCATGCGTTTGTTCAGCACTATCATTACTAGCTCATCACTGCACGCTTTTAAAATAAATTGTTCTTTTAAAAGATTTCTAGTCAAGAAAGGGGTTGAAAAAACAGTTGATGTTGCCAGCTCTGGGCCAGCCCTGTTACACTTCAGATGTAGCATCCTCCCTGCTCAGTCTTACGTGAATAAAGGAAGCTTGCATTTGCATTTTCTCATTGGAAGAGCAAAAAAGCTGGGGAGGAGTATATGGGCAGATCAGAGGAGGATGGTACCACACGTTTGGACCAATCCTTTCCACGGAGGCTGTGAAAACTGGCAAGGCAACCATAACAGGAGGTTAAGGGGCCACTGATTGCACCTTCTAGAAATCAGAACGCTCTAGTGGCATTCAGCAAGATAAAACTGTTCTTTCTTTACGTCACTTTTTTTTCTGGTTCGGAGGAGCCTGATTCTTTTCATTTCCAGGACAAAACTATGGGAAAAACTGGAACTTAGCTGGCTCAGGTTCCTGAGCGGTCAGCAGTTCCATTGCACCCAGCAGTGACACAGACGATAACGCCCAAAGAATGCGGCTGGCTGCAATCTGACCATCGAACTGTGCTCATCTCTGGCCACTGTGACCGACTCATTTCTCATCACACAATGGCTACACTGCAAAAATGCATGTGCACATCCTGACCTCATGGAATATCTGTAAATTCATGTATTGTCTTCGGCTTTAGTTATATGCATACGATGAAGTTAAGGAAAGTGCTAAATCTCAAGTTCCATCCTTTCTGCTCAGGGACAAAACTAAACTGAAACATGGTCCATCAAAACTACTCTAGAGGTAGCTTCATCATCCCATTCCTGTCCTGGGGTCCAGATACACTTGGAGAAAAGCAACTTCTTTCATGAAAGACAGGACAGAAGCAGATGAAGGAAGAAAATACCCCGACAAAATTCCCCACACCCTGCTGCCAATGTGAGGGTTTACTCTGCTTTGCGATACTCACTGCCATTCTGTGATGCTCACTGCCATTCAGGCACGAGTGGAATTTTTTTTTTTAAGACTGAAATACGACTTTCAGTAACATTTTGCACTAGTGCCATCTCTTGGAAACATTGCACTGGGTTTTTTAAAGTGAGAGGAGGCCAAATGCATTCGTACACTCGCCAGAAAGAAGGCAATGTGTGCACACCGCGATCACCACGGTGTTTCTGTGGCCAGATATGGATAAAACCGGGAGTATTCCTATTGAATGTGCAAGAACACCCCTGCTCCGAGCACCCCTCTCCCACC